ATTTCAACTGGCACAAGAGATCTTGTTCAATGCAGTCGCGGCAAGCACTGCTCGCATGAGCACGATTCTGCCTACAGGTCTCCATGAACGTGGATGTCAAAGAAGAAACTTTTGCTCGGTTTCTAGAGCTGCCCGGCTCTCAGAGAGAGGACATCACGCCGTGACTCGTTTTCATCTGATCGTCTTGGCAGGGTGCACCCAAAGCTGAACTACCAGCATGCTCGGCTCCAAACATTCCGTTCAAATGCTAGCTAGCATGTTGCACTTTGGGACGCGGAGGCCTTGACGCAACAGGTTAGAATGGCTCGTGCCTCAGCTTCTGATGTTCTGTGCTCAGAGTGAATGTGTCAGATGTTCAGGTGGAGCCCTTGCGTGAGGCGCCTCTGGCAGATGAAAGTGGCATTGGGCATGAAGTAGCCGTGCTAGGGGTTATGTGCGTGACTTACACTAAGAGCATCGAGCGTCAAAGCAGCATACAATACGTCACACAATTTTGGTGCATGTACTCTCCACTGAGGGACGGTTCGTTTACATTCCTGAGAACAGCTAGGCAGCTAGTCAGACTGCCTACAATGCCTACAAGTCTTGAATGCCCTTCCGTTGTGTCATGTGGTGAGCCAGGAGATGCCAGGAGCTCGCAAAGGGTTGTAGGATTTAAGGCTTTCAGGGCTGGCATATCAGGGGTTAGGAGTTCCTGAGATCAGGGTCTGAATGTAAGGAAACTCACCTCATTGCCTAGGGATTTGATGGCATATTCCGATTACATGAGAGGTTATATGCGGAGACTTCCGCAAACACATGAATCCCCTCCTCGCCGAAAAGACCATGAAACAATCTGCCTAGAATCAATGTTCGCTTTTCGATTGGAAGCACGCCCTCGCTTTAGATGAACTGACACAAGAGGAAGGTTGAGGCACAACATACAGTCGCTTTCTGCGTGACAGATACAGTCGTCCAAACGAGGGATGTGGCTTGCTGGTGACAGGGCGGCCGATGTTTCCCGTGGCCTGTGCAATCCTGGTGATTCATGCAGTCCTCCTGGCGGCCGATGCGGTTTTCCCCTGGCCAATTTCTGTGGACTATTGTTACATGGGGTCGTTTCCCCGGCTTAACGCGACCAGAAGTGATTCGAAAGAGAAGTGGCGCAATCATCAGCCGGGCGGGCACAGCTTTGGGAAATCCTCCGGCTAGCCTGCTTCGCCGAATGGAAGCGGTGATTGGTGGCATGTCGATGTTGCAAAACTCACGCTGCTGAAGCGGGGCGCTAGAAATTGATGACTGATTTGAGCGGCAACACTGACCATAGTGAACGTCAAGGTCATGCCATGGCTCTAGGCTGCTGAATCAGCTCTTGATTTGTCACACGAGTTAGATTCGAACCTTTTCAACATGCTTGCTCTATTCCATAAAAAGCCTTCTCTCATTTTTCTCTCCCAGCCAACAGGTCACGCAATGCATGTGCTGCTGTATGTTGCAGATTGCCAGCAGTCTGTTTGTTCAAGATGGAGCAGCAGGTGCAGCTTCAAGAGGGTGAAACCAAGTTCCTGCATCCAGAATTGCCAGGGCTCCCAGCGTGAGGTGGCAAGTTTCCAGCATCTAAGCAGCGCCACATGAGCTATAGTCTAAACTCCTAATCAGTATCTCCCTTAATAACTCCTGTAGTAGTCCGCATATAAACCCCTATATAACCCCCTTTAAGGAATTGAAACTACAGCTCACATGACACATAGCATAGCCACAGCCTTGCAAGTTGAGCCTTGGAATATCCTCAGGCAGTCGGTTTTGGAGCAGGCAGCTGAAATACAGCAACAGCCCAACCCTCAGAGATGTTGATGCTTTCTCGTTGAAGTGGAACTTACAATCTAGCTCCTGATATTGCAACTCCTGGTACAGACCCGCACAGAAGACTGTGTAGTCACTATAGAAACCTCATGAAGCCCTATATACTCCTATAAAATCCTTATAAATCCTTCCAGTAATACAACAGCCTTGATTTCTCTTTCCCACTCTCCATTGGTAACCCTAAACCCTAAACTCTGAAAACTAAACCCTAAACTCTGAAGCCCAAATCCTAAGCCCTAAACTCTGAAGCCTAAACCCTAAGCCCTAAACTCTGAAGCCTAAAGCCATAGCCTTAAATCCCCCTTCAGCCCTAAGCCCTAAACCCGAAACTCCGAAGCCTCAACCCTCAACCCCAAACTCTGAACCCTAAACCCTAAACCCCCCAAAAATTCTTAAGCCCTAAACCCTACACCCTAAATCCTAAACCCTAAACCCTATACTCTAGTAGTTTCCATTTTCTTCTCCATTATCCCCTAAATAACCCCTTTAATCCCTATATAATCCCTATATAACCCCTTTATCACCAGGTTCCAGCTCCAGCCGCAAAAGCTGGCATTCCTCCACAACATTGTCATCTCTGCCGAAGCCACAGGGGGTATATTGGGGTGAGAATGGAAACTACTCTAATATGAGCCTTAGTCTAAACTCCTTAAAGGGGATTATATGGGGGACTATTGCAGGGGTTACCAAGGGGGATACTAGGAGTGTAGACTATTGCTCATATAGTAGGGCATAGAATATGGGGTATGTTATTGGGGTTATATAGGGAATAATATCTGCCGAAGCCACAAGGGTTTGGGGTTATATAGGGATCATGCAGGGATTAGATAGAGGTTATATAGGGGTTATATGGGGATCACGGAAAAGACAATGGAAACTACTATATAGGGTTTACTGGGTAGGGTTCCAGATCCACGCAACCTCCGAGCTGACCTGAATCCCTTTTTGGGGTCAAGGGTTTGTAGTTTCTGGGGTTTAGGGTTGGGGGGTTGGGAAAGTTTAGGGTTCAGGGTTTAGGTTTTAGGGATAATCCTGGGACCCTTAAGTGGGGTTATAGGCCCATAATGGGGGATACTTAGGCCTGAATAGAGGGTAGTGTGAGGTTCTAGGACCCGTATAAACACAGTCGTACTTAGGGTCATGCAGGATTTTTAGTATCAGCCCTATCACACCCTATAGAACACCAGCTTATATAACAATTTTAATTTTCTCTTCCATTTGATTCTTCCTTATTGGGTCCTATACTATCCCTAAACTAAACCCCAGCCCTAAACATCCCTAAACCCCTAAAAGGGATCCCAGTTGTTCAAAACCCTAAACTCTAAACCCCTAAAAGGGATCCCAGTTGTTCAAAACCCAGGCCTACAGGCATAAATGGCGTCTTCGTGGCTACCAAAGTGTGGAGCACAGGATCAAGGACCTGTCTGCTTGAAGCATAGGGTTTAGGGTTTAGGGTTTAGGGCCCAATGATGGAGAATCAAAACCAAAAGAACATGAAACATGAAATGGAAACTGATGCTATTAACTATTTCGGGGTTGAGTGTGACTTGTCAAGACCACGTGGATGCTGTTGAGCCGGAAGAAGGTGCGAAGGGCTGATGTCTAGGCAAGAAAAGTGTTGGCCAGTTGCTCTTAGCCTCACCCTAAACCCTAAATAATAGCTTGCATTTTCTTTTCCATTAGCCCAGTTTTTCCCGCATGTCCCCTATAGACACCCCCTCTGTCTTACTCATTGGACAGCTGTGAGTTGGTGTCCTTGCACGTCTCGGGTATTGTTCTCAGGACTTGCAAAGACTCCTGGAGGCAGCGCGCCTGTGCTAACTTAACCGCTACCGCGGGGCCGCGACCGAGAGGTGTCCAGCGGAAGCCAAAGTGGGGCCATACTGAGTTTGGAGTTGGCTACACAGCCCAGCAATGTTGGTGTGACGCACGGCTTCTCACCGCAGGAACAAGCAGTGTGGGGTTCGGGGCGGCTTCAGAGAGCAGTTGGGAGGATTTAGGGTCTAGGTTACTCTATATTCTTCGCAATTTTGCTAGAGCTAGTATTAGGATTATTAATAATACGACGATCCCTACACTTATAGATAGCACCGCTCCACAAACACTAGTATTATGAAGGCTGACCCGAAGGAAATCAGTTTGGAACCCCAGCCCCTTACCCCGGCTGTGCATCCCAAAGATTCTCCCCCCAGGTCTCAGCACCACCCGCCCAGCCTGGGGTTACATTTGCGGAAGGGGGCGTTGCGTAAGGGGTGGGCAAAACGGTGCGAAAACATCTCTGACCAGAGTGGACCGAAACATTCCTGAGGCCTCCAGCCGATTCAGGTAATATAGGGAATAATGGAAAAGAACATAGAAACTCCCCTAGTAAAATAGGGTATACAATGGGGCTATATAGGGATAATGGAAAAGAACATGGAAGCTACTTTGTAGTATTGTTTCGCATTTGCCAGAAACTGCAAGTTTCAAGGCTGCACGGCAATTGGGGGTGGCTGCATGTGCAGAAGACTGAAGCATGTGGGCTATGGCCTAAACTCCTTACAGGAGGTTATATAGGGGATCATATAGGGGACTAGTATAGGGGCTACTAAGGGGGATCCTAGGAGTTTAGCCTATAGCTCATGTGACGTAGAGCACTGCGTCGCCAGTCCTACAACCTGGATGCCATAGCGGCCTTCTTCAGTGAGTCCATCGACTGACTGCTGCGAAGGGCCCATTCGTCATCTTGACAGATATTACCCAATTGCAGTTGCAAAGAGTGTGCCACAGAATACTGCAGCAATTGCCTTTCAACGATTCCGGCGGCTCCTTGGCTCCCTTGTACATTGCAACATCTTTCGCCACACTGGTTGAAATCAATGACCGGTGATGTACAAATCTGCATTTGAGAAGGCGAACGGTGCAGCATGCTGCAATGCATGGAATTGCTTACAAAAAATCAGCACGTCAAACGCGACTGCATGCGACTGCTTCATTGATTGTCAGAGGCTGTCCTCACTACAGACCTTTTCAGGCTACGTCTTGGTTCAAGCAGCTCCCAAGAAGCACAACCATGAATTGAAGTCCATCAGATGAAGCCAGTAAAGTTAGATGGAACAGCTAAGCGTCAACACAGTCAATACATCAAGGGAATTTGCGTCGTTGCGACCGGCCTTAGCATGGCCCCGTCTTCTCCGGTGCGTGGCCAGAGGAGCGTGGTACTGCCAGACAGATTTGGGTCTTCAAGTCTTGCCTCGGTGAGCCCGAGAAGACGGCGGCCTTCTTCCATCTCAAGAAGAGATGAGGATTCTCAGGATTCCTCCCCTCGCACCACGAGCGATGCGGTGCTTCTTAGATGCAGGGATACTATAGAAAGACTCCACAGCGATGTGGAGGAAGAGCGCCAGAAGCGGACAAAGCTTCAGGATCATGTTGTGGCCTGTGAAAGCGAGTTGGCGGCCGCAAAAGTGGATTTAGCCGACGAGCAGGTGAAATGCCGCGATGCTGAGTCTCGCTGCAGCCGCCTTGAGCGGCAGCTGACTGAAGCGGAGCAGCGACTGAAATCCCAGAAGGAGTCATTCGAGTTTGCTCATTCACAAGTGCAGCAGTTGAAGTCGGAATCTCTGCAGAAGGTGCAAGAGCATTTTGCACAAGGCTTGAAGCTGACCGAACTGGAGAGCACGACGAAGCGTGCTGAAGCGCAGGCCGCGAGAGGACAGGAAGAAGTTGCCAGACTGACAGCCGAGTTGAAGGCTGCGCAGTCCAAAGTGGCAGACCTTGAAAGCGAAGCTGGGCGCTTGCAAGAAGCTGCGGAAAGCAAAGCAACGGAGGCAGCTCAAATACTTCGCGTTGGCCAGGAGCACGAACATCGTTCTCTGGCACTTCAGCGGGAGCTGGAGGACCTCCAAGCAGAAAAAGAGGCTGACAAGGCAGCCTTGGAAAACCATCAGTTCGAACTGCATGAGATGGCGTTGCGGCAAGAGAGATTACATGCAGCCTGGAAAGAGCGTGAAGTGGAACTGCAGAGACTACAGCAGGAACGCGACGAAGCTCGAGATGAGCTGGAAGCTTTGCAGCATGAGATGGATTCGTCCAGCCAGCAGGCATACCAGGCATGTGCCTCAGATTGCCCGCGTAGATCAGAAGTAGACCGCCATGCCAGGCACGGCGCCTGGCAGAGGAGCACAGGGAGCTCCAAGGGAAGCTGCGGCCTCAGCTCAAGCCACGCAGAAGCACTTGACTATTTCATCACCTGGCCCACCATCGATCACCAACTGTATCCGAACATCTCTGGTAACCCTAAACCCTAAACCCTAAGTTCTCACATCAAGGTTGAGCCGCGTGGAAGGTGAGGTCTCAAAGCTTCGACGGCAGGCCATCCGCCTGCTTTGACTTTAAGACATGCGCGCTTAAAGTGAACCACGCGATTTGCAAGTTGGCAGCGTCCAAGTGAATAGACCCACTAGAGAGTAAGATTGTATCCTCCTTTTGGGTATAGTATACTATATATTTCTAAGGAATATACTCTTACTAGGTTCAACCACCTAAACCCCAAACCCTCAAAAACACTACTCAAGTGAGCCTCGGTGATTGCGATCGAGGCCGAGGAAGCCCGCCGGCAGGCTGCAGAGAAATCTGACGACCTGGAGCGTTTGGAAAGGTGGGCTTAGGGTTTAGGGTTTAGGGTTTAGTGCTTAGGGCCTAGGGTTTAGGGCCTAGGGTTTAGGGCTTAGGTTTAGGTGGGCCCTTCCAAATTTGGCGACTTTCGTTCGACTCCCATGTAAGCTGAGAAAGCATAGTGGGACCCCAGAAGCGTGGCATGTGCCAGAGGGTGCTTTGGAGGAAGGTCATGTGAGCACAGCTGGAACCATCCCTTTCCATATACCATCATATACCCCATTTTCTATCTACTTAGGGGGGACTAGAGCCCCAATACATACCCTATTAGAATATGGTAGTTTCCATTTTCTTTTCCATTATCCCTATATAACCTCAAAAATATACCCTATATTCTATCTACTTAAGGGGGACTCAGACCCTAAGTTCAGTATTCAGGCAGATGGGCAGAACGGAGTGGATTCCCATTAGACCGAGTTGCGGTTCATTTTCCATGTCGATTTTTCTCCGTTATTTGGGGTGATAATCCCTATCTCCTATACCACCCATATATGGAGGTTTCCCCAAAATCAGGGGTACCTTTCTCATTCTGGTGGTCCTAAAGAAATTGTAAACAGGTTTATAGTATTTTGGGGTCTATATCGGGTCCCCTTATTTAGAACTTAGGAAAATTACCAAATATCTCTGTATAACTTTGTAGCATCAGTAGCAGTGCAAGTTTTCAGCGCAGGCAGCGCACCAGCCACAGTGCCACGGTCGCTGCTTTGGAGCAGCAGGCAGGTTGGTTGCCGGCCCTAAACCCTAAACCCTAAACCGTGTGTTTAGGGTTGGGAGTCTTTAGGCGTTTGGGGAGCTCAGGGATGAGGACTTGCGGTTGTTTTGGGGTTTAGGGATTGGGGGCGTTTAGGTTGTGTGCTTTTTTTTTTGGGTGTCTAGGGTTTGCTGTTGAGACCTTAGGTTTTTACAGTCGTTAGGGGTGTTTGGGTTTAGGGTTTGAGGTTTGGGTTTCTTAGGGTTTGATATACCCTTCGCCCTTAAACCCGAAACCTTGAACCCTAAACCTTAAGCCCTGGATGTGACACAGAACAGTCTGAGTGCTGTCAACTCCTCGGAGGGGACTGTTGTCACGATGCGCGTGCTGATTCGCAAGCACCATGGAACGGTCAGGGGGCAGACAGATCAATGCGAGGGTCGAACTCAGGCCCCTTTGACGTCGTGCAGACGTCAAAGTCCTCAGGGTTGAAAAACAAGTTAAGCCCTAAACCTTAAGCCCTAAACCTTAAACCCTAAACCTTAAACCCTAAGCCTTAAACCCTAAATCTTAAGCCCTAAACCTTGAACCCTAAGACCTCAAACCCTCAACCCTACACCCCGATGATTGCCTGGATTCTAGCAGGTCGATGAGTTTCGCCGGCAGCTTCGGGAACGCAGCCAAGAGCTGGCCAGGCCATTCGGCAATTCATAAGGGTTTAAGGTTTTAGGGTTTTTGGGTTTTAGGGATTAGGGTTTTATAAGGTTTGGGTTTTGGGTTTTGGGTTTAGGGTTTTAGGGTTTTAGGATTTTAGGGTTTTAGGGTTTTAGGATTTTAGGGTTTTAGGGATGCCTATTCATGGGAAGTGTTTTCGGGATATATAGTGGTTATACCGGGTTACATAGGGGTATACAGTGGATATAAAGGGTTATATAGGGCTATATAGGGATTA